TCCGGTGGGATCATGGACCTACGAGATGGAAACTGATCACTCGTTTGACACGGTAACAACTTTGATGCGTGGAAAACTGGGTAAGTGTGGAAGTGTGCTGGTAACTCTATGGTGTAGGACGGTCCATCTTCGCCGCCCTTGACTTCCAGAACATGCCACGGTCCTCTATATGTGGGCAGTAACTTCTGTGAGATGTTCTCCTCAGGTGCAAACTCTTGCGAACTAACCTAGACTAAGTCGCCTACTTGAAACTGTGAAGGGCGACGATGTTTGTTTGCTTGTTCTATCATCCTATGCTGGGCTTTCCTGAGGTTTTCTACAACAGTAGCTAGTTCTTTCTCGTGCTGTACAGCGAACTCCCGGGTCCCGGGCGGCAATCTCTGAATCTGATCCCGGTTGAGTCCCTCAAACGGTCTGCGCGGTCTAAAGGACTTGTGCAGTTCGTTGGGAGTGCGGCAGGTAACTAGATGCACGTTGTTATTGTACGCACTAGCTACTTTAGGCAACATCTCAACCCAGTTAATCTGATCTGGCCTAATATACATGCGCAGAACTTGCTGCAGGATCTTGTTCATTTGCTCTGTCTGACCGTTAGTCTCTGGATGGCAGCCGGACGACATCAAAAACTTAGATCCGTATACTCCCATGAGTTCTTGCCAGTTCTGGCTAGTAAAGCGACTATCTCAATCGCTAACTATAGACAGCGGGATTCCATTCTCACTAACCCAACAGTCGAAGAACCTCTGTATGACTAAATCAGTACGCGCCTCAGAAGGCAAAGGAACAAAAATTGCGTACTTGCTAAAGCGGTCAACTATGACCATGACTTGGCTCTTGCCATGGCTGCTCTTGACTTGAGTGTCCATAAAATCTATTGATACTGAGTCTCCCGGCTGATCCGGAATGGGCAAGGGTCTGAGAAGACCTAACGGGGCACGCGTAGAAGACTTGTTACGCTGGCAGACCTTACAACTGCGAACATACTCTACTCAGTCATTCTTCATCCCTGGCCAGGTATACGCGCGCATCAGATTGGCTAAGGTCTTTTGCCAACCAAAATGACCCTCCGTGTCATGGCATTCTCCCAGGATCAGACTGCGGATCTCTTCACTATTGGGGATGCACAATCGGTCAAAAACATTAGTCTTCTCAAAAAGCGACCCTTCAGTAGTGCGGTAGTTCGGCTCTGTCTCTGGGGCCTCCTTGACTTTCTTAAGGAGCTCACCATAGATAGGGTCATGCGCGTAGGCTTCTCTAACCTGCTACTGCAGATCCTTTCCTATATCGAGGTAATGTACTATTGCCCCAAAATAATCAGCTCTTCTACTCACAGCATCCGCGACTACGTTGTACTTCCCTTTCACAGGCTTAAGCTCAAAGTCGTACTGATCTATCTCGGCGGCCCACCTAGTAAGCTTAGGTGTCATTTTGGCCTGCGTCTTTAACCATCGTACCGTTTCATGGTCAGAATAGACTTTGAAGTGCCTCCCAAGCAAGTAGTGCTTTCAGTGGTCTAAGGCTTGCCTGAGAGCGTAGAGTTCCCTCTCGTAGGTAGATGTCGCGACCTTCTCTGAAGGCATTCTAGCGGACATGAACTCTACGGGTCTAAACCCATTGCCATCGTCTTGCTGTAACACTACGCCTATGCCGTACTGGCTAGCATCAGTAGTAACGACAAAAGGCAAGGACGGATCGACGACCTTAAGGACCGGGTACTCTATCAATGCCTGCTTTAGCTTCTTCATGGCAGACGTGCAGTCCTTGTCCCACTTCCAGATTGTCTCTTTTCTTAGCAATTTGTGAAGGGGCGCAACGATGGTGGATAAGTTCCTCATGAACTTCCTATAGTAATTTGCTAAGTCCAGGAACGAGCGCAACTCTGTCAGCGTACGTGGCGTGGGTCAGTCTCTAATCGCTGCGATCTTGCTATCTTCTGGCTTAACGCCGTCTCCGTCTAAGACGTGGCCTAGATACAAAACTTGGGTCTTCGCCCAATGACACTTCTTCGCATTGATCTTGAAGTTAGCTTCTCTCAGCTTCTCCAAGACCTGCCTGAGATGACCCTGATGCTCGTCAAGGGTCTTACTAAACACTAGAATGTCATCTAGGTACACTACAACAAATCTATCTAACCATGCCCTAAACAAATCGTTCATACAACGCTGGAACGTAGCTGGCGCATTGGTTAGTCCAAAGGGCATCACTATAAACTCATAGTGCCCGTACCTAGTCCGGAAAACTGTCTTATACTGATCATCAGAATGTACCTCTATCTGATGGTATCCAGACTTTAAGTCTATCTTAGAGAAGTACTTGGCCCCTTGCACTCGATCTAAGAGATCGTCTATCCTAGGCAGTGGCTCAGCATTCTTTACAGTAATAGCATTCAGACCCCTATAGTCTATACACATCCTCAACTCTCCCTCTTTCTTAGGGACAAAGAGAACAGGGGCTCCAAAAGGAGACGAATTGGGCCTAATCCAACCCTTTTCGAGGAGCTCGTCCAATTGCTTCCGTAGCTCCTCTAACTCCCGCGGGGACATCCTATATACAGCACCCTTAGGAGTTTTACTGCCAGGCTCTATCTCAATACGRTGCTGGATGGGCCGCGGCACCGTGCCTGTCGGCGGCTTAGTTAAATCCTTAAACTCTTCCAGCAATTTGGCAATAGTAGGGTTTACGGGCTTCTCTTCCTTAGGCTCAGTCACTGGCCTAATATAGGCGACAAAGACCTGTTCCTCCAATTTCTCTTTCTTCACGAATCTGGCGAATGCGGGCACGCTCATGCAACAATGTGCCAAGGAATTCTCTACGCCTGACACATGGAACAGGCGGGCACTCTTAGCCTCGCCTAAAGAATTAGGGAGCCTACACTTGTGCTCCTTCAAATGGAGCGTGGCCCCGGCTGCCTCTCCCCAATCCATTCCCAGATCAATTTCGAATGCGAGGCTGTCTTCTACAAGGAGAGTCAGGGAGTGGAGGACCTTCTCCACTTTCCCATCCTTCTCTGGGCGGAAATACGTCTGGACTCCCTCTACATACTCCTCTACAACCATAGTATGATTGTCGGCGAGGATACTAACTATGGGATCTGCTAGTTTTTGGACTTTAAGCCCCAACTTCAACTTCTGCAGCGCCTTCCTACTAATATAGCTGCGGGTAGCCCCTGAATCTACTAGGGCCCCTACTCTACCTCTAAAAATCTCTATATCTACCAGAATTAGCTTTCCTTTCTGTTCTTTTTTCATCTTGGCCCAGGCGGGCATCCTCTCCTTCAATTCTTCGGCCACGCCTGTGAGGGAGGTGTCTAAAGAGACCCTGACACAAGCAGTCTCTGGACAGTTGTCTAGACACCGGCCTGCAACCTCTGCCATAGGCACATGTGGTGTGGGAGTCTCCTGCCGGCTAGGGCTATGTTCCCCACATGGCCTAATGGTAGGGGCAGTTGCTACCCCTACCGGCGGATGCCTTTAAGCCTTTGGGCAGCCGTTCGGGTCTCTCTATACTTAGGACAATATTTGATGATATGGCCCGGGTCACCGCAGAAAATGCACTGGCCCCGGTCCAATCGTTGTTGCCATAAAGCCTGGTCCAGACCCAAAGATTCCCAAGGCCTACCCTGAGGTAGCCCTGGGTGCCATCCTCCTATTCTATAGGGAGACGTATTCCTAGGACGGTTTTGCGGGGGACCTTGACCCCTGCCTCTCGCTTGGTGGTTTCCTCCTCTGTCGCCAACCCCCTGATCGCCCTGAAATCGACTCCCTGAGGCCCGGCCCCCTTGGCCCTGGCCTCTTCCTCCTTGCGACCTCCCTCCAGCCGCGACAGCAGCGTAAGATCTCCCTTGGCCTACACCACTGTCCTCCTCCTCTAACCCCCACTCAATCTGGTCGTAGGGGATCTCATCCACACTACCGTCATCTAAGGTTAGGACAAGGCTGTCCTTGGTCTTTACTTGCCCTGAGATAGTGCGGCCCTTCCATTGCTTACCCTTGTCCAAGTCCTTGTGCCAGAAAGTGGACACAGACGCAGACTTGGCTTCAAAAGCCACTTCTTCGCGACTAAGGGAATCGTATGTAGTGGCAGGGTCTTCGCTCTTTGCGAAGAAATGCCCTCGGAGGGCTTCGGGTATAG